ACCTATATCGCTCCACAGACTTATAACGCTAAAATAGGGTTTCGATACCGGTGGTGGGCTCATCACAGATAGCCCATTATGTGGCTGTGTATATAATGACAAACAAACAAAAACCCTATATCTCGTAAACCTACTTCTCTGGTGAATTAATTAAAAAATTGTAATATTAACACATTTTTATTTATCACTGTTTTTCGTAGACATTCAACCATTAATGAAACTTATTTTTTTCCCTCTGTAAAGAGATTTTTCGAATTTTTGGAATAATTAATACATGCTTCATTGGAAACATACTCCTTTTGTAGAGGTGTTTTGTTTTTGGTTTAGTTCTACTTGTGCTCGATTACATGGATAATAAAACTTCTAGCTACACACCTGTTAGTTACACTTTTGACGGTTTCTCACATGTAATATAAGTTGGGTGTTGTAGTAAAAGTTTTTTACCATAGATATCTTTAGAAGAGTAAAGGTAATGATTTCATACAGTTCAAATGAGAGCTAGTAATTATAATAGTCAGATTAATTCTAATAAATTCTCTATTTTTCTTTTTTTTTAGTTAGAATTATAAGACTGTTTCTTCTTTAAAAAAAAAGCCCCCCAGTGGCACAGCGGTATGTCTGCGGGATTATACCGCTAGAAACCGGGTTTCGATACCAGTGGTGGACAGAGCACAGATAGCCCTTTGTGTAGCTTTGTGCTTAATAATAATAAACAATTAACGTATTTAAAAAACATATAAATAATTTTTAATTGTATCAACTTGAAGCTAGTTTATCCTGACGTCCCTAGTTTTTCCATTAAGTTTTATTCTTAAACTTTGTTATAAAAAATTAACGGAAGTCCCTCTATATTTTAGTATTGAACCCTAAATAAATTAATTCAACATTTAAAAGCTTAAACACTGATGGTGAACTCTTTGTGAGTTCGAAGGTTTGTAGACTGGTTATGAATAAAATAGTACGTGGTTGTTTCATTGTTGTCTTGTGTTGATTTTGGTTGTGCATCTGTAAAACGTTTGTTAGATGTTAATTTCACTTATTTAGCATCATTTCTTAAAATAGTGTATTAAAGACAGCATAGATCAGGATGGGAAGAAACATCTTTATATGTATATTTTATTTAATATGCTAAATGTAACGTGGATATTATGATGAGAAACACATATGTACATATTATTTAATGTGGTAAATATAGCATAGGGCAGTATTATGAGAAACACATATGTACACCTTATTTAATGTGGTAAATATAGCATAGGGCAGTATTATGAGAAACACATATGTACATATTATTTAATGTGGTAAAGATAGCATAGGGCAGTATTATGAGAAACACATATGTACACCTTATTTAATGTGGTAAATATAGCATAGGACAGCATTATGAGAAACACATATGTACATATTATTTAATGTGGTAAAGATAGCATAGGACAGCATTATGAGAAACACATATGTACATATTATTTAATGTGGTAAATATAGCATAGGGCAGTATTATGGGAAACACATATGTACATCTTATTTAATGTGGTAAATACAGCATAGGGCAGTATTATGAGAAACACATATGTACACCTTATTTAATGTGGTAAAGATAGCGTAGGACATTATTATGAGAAACACATATGTACATCTTATTTAATGTGGTAAAGACAGCATAGGACATTATTATGAGAAACACATATGTACACCTTATTTAACGTGGTAAAGATAGCGTAGGACATTATTATGAGAAACACATATGTACACCTTATTTAACGTGGTAAAGATAGCGTAGAGCGGTATAGTGAGAACCAGTTTTATTTCTACATTTTGTTCAATTAAAGCATTAATTAGAGCCAATATCTCTATAGTTTCTTCACATAATTGGTATTTATCTCGTGGCTGAAACTGAAATTATTGCATATTTATTTTAATGCGACAAAAATATACATTAAAAATATCATTCCATCTTCATCGTCAGTATAAGACTTGTCATTCTAAAAATATCTTAGTCACATAACTCAACAATAACAGAACAGAATTTAAATTCTGTGCTCAAATTAGCGTTGTAGTTTCCTGAAAGATAAATAAAATATATTTATATTAAAAGCTTTCAACATCTAACCTTCTCACAGAATGTGATTTTAAACATTACGAAAATGAAGTAAAACATAAAATAGATAAGAAAAAAGAAAAACAAATCTTATAAATAAAAGTTTTATTTATTTATTTATTTTCATGAAGAACGTCATGATAAAAATGATAAAGATAGGAAGTTGGTTTTATCATGGAATAAAGTACTTGAGGTTCTCCCCGGGCCCGGCATGGCCA